TACCACTTGAGCCACAGCACCACTTCCGGCATTTTTCCTTTTTGCTTATGTGGTGCTGGGGAATCGAACTCAGGGCCTCATGCACATGCAAGGCAAGCGCTCTACCACTGAGCCACCTTCCCAGCCCTCCTGGTAGTTTATTGGAGATAGGAGTCTCATGGACTTTCTTGCCTGGGCTGGCTTTGAACTGTGATCCTCAGATCTCAGCCTCTTAAGAAGCTAGGATTACAGGTGTGAGCCACCAATGCCCGGCTAAGACCAGTAACTTTTGAGTGTGGTGCCTTTGGGTTTCTGAGGACTTGGCAGCCTCTCCTCAGTTCTAGGTGAATTGAGTTTAGCCTCGAGGCTAACCTGCTAGTCTCCACACTGAGTGAGAGGAATACAAGAAAGCTCCACTCTTGTTTTCACATTGTCTCAGTGTCTGCATTCCTTCCTCACCCACCTTCATGAAACATGAAGTTTGGGGATCAATCTACCCTTTGCCATGCCTCTCCTAATGAATTCCACATTTTAATTATCTGGCAAGGTATTAAAGAGAAAGCTTCATTGATAGAAAGCAGGCAGGGCTACATGATCATAAAAGGTACTGTCTTAAATCTAAGACTGCAGTTCCAAAGACTGGTATATTTATGTGTAAACAGCATGGAAATGGGCTGAGAGGCTCATAAGGAAGCCTCATTTAATACCCAATTGAATTAAATTATATATGAACTCCCAAGAAGAAAGCCTGTAAGCTAGGGTTGGGTAGTTTTCTTTGTCTAGTTTTGTATTTGGCAATTCTCCACACCACAGATAACTGTTCTGAGATCTCAAACTGTTCCCCTGCTTTTTCCAGCCACTTTTGTGAGATGTTACTGTGAAACCTGGAAATTAAGCCAGTCCAGAACTTTGATTGGCGGGAAAGTGTAAACCCATCTAAACAAATAGATATTTCACATCATTTCTGTATCACTTAGCACTGTTTTTTGTTTTTGTTTTTAAATGGAGAGTCCCTAGGCTTGAATTCAGTGTCTAGGAACTGTCCCTGAGCTTCTTTTGCTCAAGGCTAGCACTCTACCCCTTAAGCCACAGCACCGCTTCTGGATTTCATGCATACTAGGTAAGCACTCTATCACTAAGCCACATTCCCAGCCCCTTGTCTAATTTTTATTCTTCTTATAAAGGTGATATAGCCGAGCGCTGGTGGCTCACACCTGTAATCCTAACTACTCAGGAGGCTGAGATCTGAAGATCACAGTTAAAAGCCAGCCCAGGCAGGAAAGTCCATGACACTCTTATCTCCAATTAAACCACCAGAAAAACTGGAAGTGGTACTGTAGCTCAAGTGGTAGAGCGGTAGCCTTGAGCTGAAGAGCTGAGAGACAGTGCTTAGGCCCAGAGTTCAAGCCCCATGACTGACAAAATAAAAAAAAAAGGTGATATACAGAGGGGTTACAATTTCATAAGTCACATAATGAATATTTTTCTTTCTTTTTTTCTTTCTTTCTTTTCTTTCTTTCCTCCCTTCCTTCCTTCTTTCCGTTCTTTCTTTCTTTTTCTTTCCCCCTTTCCTTTCTTTTTGTCCATTGTGAGTCTTGAATTCTGGGCCTGGGTGCTGTCCCTCAGCTCTTCAGCTCAAGGCTATAGCTCTACCATTTGAGCCAAAGCACAATTTCTGGTTTTCTGATGGTTAATTGTTGTTTTTTTTTTTTGGGGGGGGGTCCAGTCATGGGGCCTGAACTCTGGGCCTGGGTGCTGTCCCTCAGCTTTTCAGCTCAAGGATAGCTCTCTACCACTTGAGCCACAGCGCCACTTCTGGCTTTTTTCTTTTTTCTTATGTGGTGCTGAGGAATCGAACCCAGGGCCTCAGGCATGCAAGGCAAGTGCTCTACCACTGAGCCACCTTCCCAGGCCTCTGATGGTTAATTGGAGATAAGAGTCTCTTGCTCGGGCTGGCTTTGAACCATGATCCTCAGATCTCAGCCTCCTGAGTAGCTAGGATTATAGGCATGAGCCATTGGTGCCTGGCTGAGTACATTTCTTTCTTGTCAGTTGTGGGGCTTGAACTCAGCTACTTGAGTGCACACTAGTAATTTCTTTTTGGACAATGTTACTCCTTCCTTCGCTCTCTTCCAGGTTTTCCCTTCCATCCCTAGCCACAAGTTATATAGTTCTTTTCAACATAATGTGTAGTGAGTCCCACTGCTGCATTTGTTCACCCTTTGTCCTTCCATTTCTGTGCTCTCCCTTACTCTCCCACAGATAGATAAATCAACAAGATAAAAAGAAAACAAAAGTAACAACAAAGAAAAAAGACCCTCTTGTTTCCATTTCCTGTAGTTCATTTTGATAAATATTATTTTGTATGATCAGAGACAGACAGGCATTGCACCATTGTGTTCTTCCCCTAAGAATATCCTCCTTTGTAAATAAGGCCTGTTACATTGGAATTCCAGAACCCTGGAATCGAGGGTTCTGTTGGTTCAGGATTCTGTGATGGATGGGCTTTCTTTTATTCATTGATGTCAGGACAATTCTGTAGAGGAAGGTAACATGCACTAATCTGAGAGCTGTGGAGGGACTGCAGTGACCATTGGTCCACTGAACTCAGACTTCCCTTTGGAGCTCTGGGTTTTCTTGTGTGTCCTCATGCATTGAGAATACTTGCCTCTATGAAGGGGCAGGACTGGGTGAGGAATCTTTCTTATACTGTTTTGTATATTGCTGCTGTACTTTCTGTGGCTGGTTGCCATACCTTGCCTTGTGCTTCTATGTGATCACATGATCTTCTAACCCAAGAGGGGGCACTTGATTCAGTTGCTTATTGAGGACAGTGTTGCATTGATTTTTGCTCCTTTTATAGTCTCTTTCTGCCTAATATACTATGTTTCTCAAGCCTTTCATTGTTGTGTTGGAAATTTGAATCATTTCTCTTAAACTAATGCTTCTGTAGAGATAAATGAAAAGTTTTGGGGGAAATAGAAGTTGTTTGTTTTCTTTTTGCTGGTCCTGGGGCTTGAACTCAGAGCCTGGGCACTGTCTGTGAGCTTCTTTTAGCTCAAGGCTAGCACACTACCACTTGAGCCACAGTGCCACTTCGGGCTTTTTTTTTTTTTTTCTTTTCTTTTTTGTCAGTCATGGGGCTTGAACTCTGGACCTGGGTGCTGCCCCTCAGCTCTCCAGCTCAAGGCTTATACTCTAGCCACAGCACCACTTCTGGTTTTCTGGTAGTTTATTGGAGATGTCTCATGGACTTTCCTGCCAGGCTGGCTTTGAACTGCGATCCTCAGATCTCAGCCTCCTAAATAGCTAGGATTAAAGGTGTGGGCCATCAGTGTCTAGTTCTAGCTTTTTCTGAGTAGGTTATTGTAGATAATAGTCTCTTAGACTTTTCTGCCTAGGCTGGCTTCAAACTGCAATCCTCAGATCTCAGCCTCTTAAGTAGCTAAGATTACGGGTGTGAGCCACCAGTGCCAACACTTTAGTTTTGTTTGTTTGTTTGTTTTTGTAGGTCGTGGGGCCTGAACTCTGGGCCTGGGCACTGTCCCTCAGCTCTTCAGCTCAAGGCTTGCACTCTACCACTTGAGCCACAGCCCCACTTCTGGCTTTTTCTGCTTATGTGGTGCTGAGGAATCGAACCCAGGGCCTCATGCATGCAAGGCAAGCACTCCACCACTGAGTTACCTACCCAGTCCCTGGGGGAGAGATTTTTATATTCATTATTTGACTTTTTTTAGATTTTGTCAGAACTTATTAAAAGTCACTGATGTTAGGATGGGGATTATGTAACCTGATGAAGACATTTAGTAGTAACAAGC